TCGTCGTCGTTGTCGTCGTCGCCGTCGTCGTCGCCGTCGTCGTCGTCGTCGTCGTCGTCGTCGTCGTCGTCGTCGTCGTCGCCGTCGCCGTCGCCGTCGCCGTCGCCGTCGCCGTCGCCGTCGCCGTCGCCGTCGTCGTCGTCGTCGTCGTCGTTGTCGTTGTCGTCGTCGTCGTCGTCGTCGTCGTCGTCGTCGTCGTGTACGGTCATCGTGGGCATCGTCGTCAGCTGTCCGTCGTCCGTCCTCCGTCGTCCGCGTCGCTGTAATCGTCTGTATATGTTCTTCGTCGTTCGTCGTCTGTGGTCCGTCGTCCGTTGTTTTTGTCATCGTCGTTGCCGCCGTCGTCGTCGTCGTCGTCGTCGTCGTTGTCGTCGTCGTCGTCGTTTTCGTCGGCGGTGCCAGTCTTCGTCCTTGGCCGTCGTCGTCCATTCGTCGTCGTCGTCGTTCTGCGTCGTCGTCATCGTCATCATTGTCCGTCGTCCGTCCTCCGTCGTCCGCGTCGTCACAATCTTCGTTGTGCGCCGTTCGTCGTTCAGCGTTCGTCGTTCGGCGTTCGTCGTTCGTCGTTCGTCGTTCGTAGTCTGTCGTCTGTGGTCTGGCGTCCTGCGTCATTCGTCATTCGTCCATCGTCGTTGTCGTCGTCGTCGTCCATCGTCGTCGTTGTCGTCGTCGTCGTCGTCGTCGTCGATGTCGATGCTGTTGTCGCCACCGCCGCCGCTGACGTTGTCACCGTCGTCGATGCTTCGTCGTCGTAAGCGTTCTTCGCCAGCGGCGCGCAGTGGGAGAGGGGTGTCCCCCCCCAGGTTCGATTTTTTTTTTGTCGTGGAAAAACGCCCCGCCACCCTGCTCGACCCCCCACATCGGAGCCCCCCCCCCGATTCGAGGCCGGCGTCTGGGTCCCCCCCTTCCGCTGCTCCGGGCGCGCCGGATTTTTTGTTGGGGTGGGGTGCGGTCCCGACGTGTCGCGGGATGTTTCCCAAGCGAGCGTCCACGCAATGCGTTCCCTGTCAAATTTGCACCCAGCAAGTCTGAAGAAGTCCTGAGCGGGGCCACCGTTTTCGAAGACGTGTCCGGGGAGAGCCCCATTCTGAGAAGAGGCCGTTGTCCGTCCATGCGTGCGCACCCGCGAGAGGTGCGCGGCGCGACGGCGAGAGCCCCGCCTTGAGAGAACGTGCCGCCCTCCACCCGTGCAGTTGCTGCAGGCTTTGAGGCCGAATGTTCGGCTGAGGCGCGAGCTCCGTTTTGAAAAGCATGCTTTGGCGCCTGTGGTGGCATTCTGCGGGGACTTCCCTAGCGAGGGCCCCACTCTGAGAACGAGCTGGCCTCCATCCTTGTGGTTGTTGCAGGCTCCCAGGGTGGGCGCGGCGCCGAGGCGAGAGAGCCCCATTTTGAGAGCGAGCGGTCCTCCGCCCGGGGAAGTGTCGCAAGGTTTCCGCTTCGGGATAACACGTTGTGAGGAAGTCTCAGGAGGTCTCAAGCGGAACGCCCAGGCTGGTCTACAGGCATGTCCGGTGGTGCGATAAGGATGAACTGCTTATAAGGAGAAAAGAGGAGGAGGAGGAGGAAGAAGAGGAGGAGGAGGAGGAGGAGGAGGAGGAGGAGGAGGAGGAGGAGGTGGAGGAGCAGGAGGAGGAGGAGGAGGAAGGAGGAGGAGGAGGAGGAGGGGGGAAGAGGAGGAGGAGGAGGAGGAGGAGGAGGGAGAGGAGGAGGAGGGAGGAAGAGGAGGAGGCGGAGGAGGAGGAGGAGGAGGAGGGAGGAGGAGGAGGAGGAGAGGAGGGGGAGGAGGAGGGGAGGAGGAGGAGGAGGAGGAGGGGAGGAAAGGGAGGGAAGTGCCAGCGGGAGGGTGGGTTTGGACCAGTGGTTGCGACGAGGGCATCCGCAGGAGACTTTCGTGCGCCTGGTGCTGCGGAGGAGCCCAGCTACAGCCCGTGAGATCGGCCTGAAATGGCCCGCGCTGCTTCGCTTTGTTGTTTTATGGCCGAACAATTTCAAGTAGCTTTCGTAGACTGTTTCATGCGCGCGGTGATGCTGACAGTGTTCGGGAGGCTGCATGCGGCCCACGCTTATATATCATACTTTAACACTGTGCGGCTCTTCTTCTTCGTCCTCCTCCTCCTCCTCTCCCCTTTCCCCTTTCCCCTCCCCTCCCCTCTCCTCCCCTTCCCTTCTCATCTCTGATCTTCCTCCCCTCCAGCATTCCGTGGAGGCTCCTGCTATTCTTCCCACGCGCAAGCGAAACAAAGGGAAGTGCAACAGTTCGCGATGGCTACGCCTTTCACTAGAATGTAGGAAGTTTTTTCAGGTCAGTCATCTCGCACACCACTATGGTGGACGATAATGGCCACCACTGTCGTGTACATATCTTGCAGGGGTGCACTCGTGTTGGAGGCTTTCGCCAGTCCAGCATTCCTCGAATCTAAATTTGGCATTCTGTCCTCCAGTGTATTCGTAACTCGGTGTCTTGATCAAGGCATGCAGGCGTATTATGCGCTCGTGCGTAAGAGTGCGTGTGCGCGTGGATGTCGTTCCTGCGTTCCGACTCCGTCGCAAATCCGTTCAACTGTGCTCGGGCTGCACTGCGTATAGTAAGAGGAGGGAGGATTAGGTCGAATAGCATGGTTATAATTCTGATCAGTGCGCGGAATCTGGGGGTTCCTCCTTCTTCCCAGCATCCGCCTCCTCAAGTCCCCTGGACCAGGAGGTAGAAAGCAGGAAGTAGGATATGTATAACCGGTAGCAGGTAGGTATGATGATCATTATGGTGGTGGTGGTGGTAATGATGATGATGTTGCTGAGGATGATGCTGCTGCTGATGATGATGACGATGATGGTGCTGTTGCTGATGATGACGATGAGAAGATGTCGTCGTCGACGACGGAGACGATGGTACAGAAGATGTTGATGTTGTTGATGATGACGGTTATGATGATGATGCTAATCATGATGATGCTGTTGATGATGATGCTGATGATGATGATGCTGATGCTGATTCTGCTGATAATGACGATGACGATGATAATGCTGATGATGGTGATGATGACGATGGTGTTGATGACGATGATGATGCTGATTATGATGCTGATGATGGTGATGATGCGTTGATGATGCTGACACTGATGTTGACAACGATGATGCAACCGATAATAATGATGATGACGATGCTTATGATGATGCTGGTGACGATGATAATGATGATACTGATGATGATGAAGATGATGATGCTGATAATGATGATGATGCTGATGATGATGATGATGATGATGATGCTGATGATGATGATGCTGATGAGGATGATGATGATGGTGATGCTGATGGCGATGATGATGCTGGTGATGATGATGCTGATGAAGATGATGAAGATGATGATGATGATGATGATGATGATGATGATGATGATGATGATGATGATGATGATGACGATGCCGATGACGATGACGATGACGATGATGCCTTCGTCGACGACGATGACACATAATATGATGATTTTGATGTGGCGGTTCATGTGGTTGATGTTGTCGATGATGATGCTGATGATGATGATGATGATGACGATGACGATGACGATTCTGATGATGATGACGATGATTATGATGATGCTGATGATGATGACGATGATGATGATGATGATGATGATGACGACGACGATGATGATGATGATGATGATGATGATGATGATGATGATGATGGTGCTGGTGCTGGTGGTGGTGGTGTTGCTGCCGCTGGTGATTTGTGTCCTGGATATCATGGCCAAACTGAAGGCTTCGCGTTTAAACGATAACTTTCTTGCGGTCCGTCGCAGAGAGCTGCATTGCACTCGATGTCCCTGCATGGCGTCTTGTTACCAGGGTGCACCACAGTGGGACTGCTTTCGCTACCTGGAAGCCTCGGAGGGGTAGTAGTCATCGAATAGAGTGTACGGTCTGGCTCATCACTGCCAGCGTCAGAATATGGAGCAACAAGCGTTGGCCCATCATCAGGAAGTGCCGAAGATGAGCATGTAAATGTTATGGTATTCTGTGTCGCTGGGCGAGGCTCTCTGCGGACGAAGGTTAAATTTTGAGTGTCTCCAGCCAGTGTCCGATTTCGTCCTCGAGCCACCCCGCTGGGGCGACTTCCATGTGGGTGCTGTTCCCCTCCGACTGTAGGCCGCGCTTGATGATGCTCCTGCCGATCCTCTGCGGGGCGCCGACGATGAGCTTCATCTTGTCCATATTGTAGCAGGTCTCCAACCTAATAAACCTGATTGTGAGGGCGAGGTCCTGGCCGCTGATGGGCGGCTCCATCACTTCTGGTCCTGCGGGTCGCACTGCTCGGGGTACTTGTTGATCTCCTCTTTGACGGTGCCCCCGGCGTCGCATGAGCGTAGGCCCTCCAGGGCCGCGAGGGCCAGCGCTGGAGCTGGGCTGCCGATCTCCTTCAGCCTCTTCTTGTCCTTCGCCGAGCCGCGCCTCAGCTGGTCCAGGGTCTGCTGTTAGTTCTCGACCATCGATGATAGGGTGCTTCGCCGCCATCGTGTACGTGTCTGTGTTGATGCTGCCATTCAGCCTCGTCCTGTGAGCCGTCTGGAGGGCCAGCCTCAGCGTCGACCTGAAGAACCCCACGACGTTCTTGTCCTTGTTGTTCCACGTCTTCTCCGAGTGGTCGTCACGTCGAGCCTCTGCAACCTCCCCGCCGCTTCCTGCGAGGCTCGGCTGCCTCGGCCGCGCCTCCGCGCGCCGCGGGCGCTGCCGCTGCGCCCTGCTGCTACGGCTGCGGGCCGACCTCCAGCGGGGGTCGAGCGTCCGCGCCATCTTCCTCGGCCGCCTCCGCTGGCGGGGGAGGCGGAACTGGCGCTGCTTCGCTGCTGGCGGCAGCTCGCCTGGCTTGGAGGCGCTGCCAGACGCCGCGGAGTCCGAGGGGGAGACCATAGGGCGAGGCGCCAGGCCTGGGATGCCATCGCTGCACCGCCGCCTGCTTCACCGCCGCCGCCGCCTTCTCCGACATGCTGTGGAAGTGCTGGCCGTGTAGGCGTAGAGGTGCAGCTTGTGGTGGGCGCTGCCGATGTCCTCGCTGTGCTGGCTGGCGGTGGTGGTGTCGATCTTGATGTGGTTCTGGCAGTCCGAGTCCGAGGTGCCGCTGCCGGTCTTGTGTGTGTGAGCTGCGTAGCTGATTCGCAGCCCGTCCAAGTGCCGCTCGTACTGCTGCATTGTCCTCTGCTTGGCGAACTCGCCGTACGGGAAGTACGCTGGGCCTCGGCGGCCGTGGGACCGAAGAGGCGCTGACGGTGGGTGCGTCGGTCCTGACAACTGGCTTGAGCAGGAAACCAGACGGCGATGGAGGATGGGGTGAGGACATGATCTCGTAGTTCATCATATTCATCGTACTTATGATGGCATGTTGGGTCCAAGTCATAGTCTGGTCAAGGACATGCAGTACTTGATGATGGGGTCCATACATTCTGAGCGTGATCAGATATGCATCGTCCAGTTGTCCTCGCTCGTCGCAAGTGTCGTGCTACATGATCTGTGTCAGGGAACGTGGTATGACGTGCTATTTCCTTGTTGTATATTTATATTGTCATTTATTCTGCATGTTGAGCTCTCATTTCTAAAACAAGTATTGTCGCCCCGCCCTGCCCGGTGCACCTTTTGCTTTTTCAATTTGAGTGTTTCCCTGCCCAGTACACCTTGTTCTTTTTCAATTACAGTGCTCCTCCCGGGGAGCGCACCTGGTTTTTGTAAGGGACGAAACACCCTCAAGGGGGGTACGATCGAAAACGAAAAGGGTGGGTATCCGGGGTTTGGGATATACGTGTTGATTGGCGCGCGAGCAGATGAGAGCGAACAGCCTTAACACGATTCTTGTTGCTCTTGATGATGGTGCTGAAAATGGTGGACGGATCGCGGCCACGCGCAGGTACGATCTAGGAGCCATGAGGTGAGACGCGGGCAGGACGATGACGATGATCGGTCAGGTGGATGCGGGCATCAGGGACCAGGAGGCGGCGGGAGGATGCCGGAGCAGCAGGACAGGCCAGGAGGAGGAGGCTCAAGCCTTCTCGAGGGTTGAGCCCTATCTGGCCATTTTGGCTCAAGGATGGCCAAAACCCTATCGAGGGTCAAGATCTAGGGTCACTGGGTATGTGCACAAACCAAGATTACTGACTCCCCACTTCAGGAACTTCCGTTTCAGGTGCCATGGCGACCGCTGAGGAGATCCGCGGCATCACCGCAGAGGCGAACAAGGCTTTAGGCGCCGACGTAGCCAAGGGCATTCTCGTGGACAAGCGACTCAAAGACCATGAGGAAGAGATCATGAAGGAGCTCCAGAACGTGAAGACGCGCACGGAGACGCTGGAGAACATGAGCCGCATGGAGAATTCCACTGGGGCCTCATGGGGTGTTGGGTCAAAGTGAGCTCGCTCACGGCCCCCCCAACAATCTCGGGTGCAGCATGAAACCAAGCCTGTTGTTTTCCGTACAGGTTTCCCTGCCAGCTCGCACCGTCTTATTCACCGACGGCACGTGCACCGCATCAAATGCTTCACACGCATCAGCGAGCGCATCGCCTACATCGACCTCGACATATCCGCCTGCAAGGTGAGAGTTGCGACGGCTTGTTTCCCACACTGCGGGTACCCCGACGCTCACGTCCAGCATATGCACGACGTCCTGACCGCGCTCCACGACGAAGCCGCCAAGCAGAAGCGCAACACAATCATCACTGGAGACTTCAACGCACAGGTTGGCAAACATCCCATCAACGCTGACGTGGAAGACAATGCCGACAGAGGCCGGAGACACAGTTGGCCCACATGGAATCGGAGCGTGCAACACATGTGGGACTTGGCTACGAGCATGGGCAAATTCACAAAAAATGCTTATCACCAACACGTTGTTCTACAAGCATGATCGCAACGTTTTCACTTATACCAGCAATGGGGAAAACCAGACCCAAACACAGATCGACTACATTCTTACCGACAAAGATCGTCACAACCAGGTGCATGACTCGTTCGCTACAGCTATCCCAGACCTCGGGTCCGACCACCAAGCGGCATGTATGAAACTTGTTTTCGACGCCACGGCGGAGAAGAAACGGAAGAAGCGAACAAAACGATCCAATCATAGGCCTGCGCGCCCGCCTGCTGCCGATCCACTGTGCCAACGCTACCTACAGCACAGATTCGACGCCCACGACGTCGCAGCCAGCACTGACGACATAATCAATCACATCACGAAAGCCCTTGTCCAAGCTCACGGCGACTACCATGAGTGCCGCGACAGTTCGCCGCGACACCAAGCACACGAAGACGACATCGCAGCAAACAGTAAGCTGCGCGACCTCATTGACCGACGGCGCAGCACACCGCATGCCGACACAACCACCAGGACAACACTGAGCAAACTCATTTTGAAACAGCTTCGAACCATCAAACGCGTCCAGGAAAACGCCAGGATTCAAACCATCGTGTGCTAGTTCAAAAACCTCGAGGGAATCGCGGGCGCAAGGAAACAGACATGATCGCGTCAATGGCGACCACAAATGGCGACGAAGCAACTAGCAGACAGAACATCGCAGACGTCTTCGCCACCTTTGACGAGCAACTCTATGAAGCACCGCAGGACGACAGCGACGTTTCTAGCAACGCCGACACGGCAACATATTCGAGCATGCCACCATTCAGACCAAAAGAGCTTCGACGTGCAATCCAGCAACTGAAAAACGGGAAGTGCAGCGACACTGCAGGACTCACAGCCGAACTTTTCAAAACAGGGGGAACCGCCATTGAAACGCACTTACTTCAGTTTTACAACGACATTATCAAGCCAAACCACCCATCACCCACAGTGGAAGAGTGCGACGACAACGGTGACATACAAATCTGGGGACCCCAAGCTACCGCAAAACTACAGACCGATCGCCTTCATCGCGCTGCTGAACAATCTCATGCCCCGTCTCCTCTGCAATCGATTAGAAGCCACATTTGACGCGCAACAAAGCCCTGGCCAGGCCAGCTTCCGGCGAGGCTTCAGCAAGGACGACCGCCTCTTCACGACGGCAATGTTGCACGAGCAATCACACTGTTGACAGTTGCCGCTCTGGGCTGCAGCAATCGACTCTGAGAAGGCGTTCGACTGCGTGGACCACAAGCACCTATGGGGCGCTCTACGACAGCTTCCCGAAGCGTACATCACCCTTCTTCAGCGCATGTGCAACGATCAGACGGCCACTGTCCGCACTGGCACCTCCAGTCGCAGTTTTAGCATGCGGCGGGGTGTGAAGCAGGGAGATCCGCTCAGTTCCTTCCTGTTCAAAGTGCTGCTGGAGCATATCTTCCGACAAATCAAGCCCGGTTGGCAACGCAAAAAATTTGGCATCAAGCTCGGCTTCGCTCTAGAAACAAGCATCACGAACCCACGTTTAGCAGGCGACGTTCTGCTGCGCGCCCCGAACCTTCGCCAACTGGTAGGAACATGGTAAGCAGACTAAGCGAGCCCACGGACCTTACCTTAAAAGAAACGAAAGCGATGTAAGTGCCGAACCAACTAGCAGACCTATGTTTGCACTTATTGCTTGATGGATATCGATGCGTGTTCAGCATGTCGGGCTCGGCACCAGGCTATGCCACCAATCGTTATGTTCCTGTCCTACATGAAGTAGGTCACGGTCCGCGTCTCGCGGGGCGGCATGTTATGCCATGCTATGCCACGCTATGCCACGCTCTGCTATGCTATGCTATGCCACGATGCTATGATATGCCATGTTATGCCATGCTATGCCCTTTTCCTGGTGCTGTTCCATGTTATGCCATGCTATGCCACGCTATGCGCACAGACCACCAACCTTCAACCTACCCTGCCCTACCTCCCATAATTATCGCGCTAACCGTCCCGCTTCCATCTATCATCATCCAGCTCCCTTTGCTGCTCCCAATGCCGTGCGTGCAATGCCACGTCGTGCCGCGTTGAGCAATGCGTTGCAAACTCGCGTTCGCGTCGCGGCTCGCGGGCGCCATCACCAGGATCACTGCCTAAGGGGTGAGGGGGGGGGGCCCGGGGGGCGGCCGCAGCAGGGGGAACATAATAGAGGAGAAGGGGAGGAAGGAGGAGGAAGGAAAAGGAGGCACAACATCAGGACGAAAAAACAACAGGAGGAGGAAGGAGGCGGAGGAGGAGGAGGACCAGCAGGAGGTGGAGTAGGATGACGTCGTCGGCAGTGGCTGTCGCGTGCTACCGCTGCCGTCGCCCGTCCTCGTCCCTCTCTTCTGCCCGCTGCTGCCGCAGCGGGCTCTGTGCTGGCGCCGGCCCTCGGCCTCGGCCCGGGCCTGGTCGCCGCCCCCGCGGGGCGGCGCCGCGCGCCTGCGCGCGCGGCCTGCTGCCGCGGCTGCTGGCGGGGCTGGTTGGGGGACTTGTTGTTTGGGATTGCAGGGTTAGGGTAGGAGGTCAACGAGGAGGAGGAGGAGGAGGAGGAGGAGGAGGAGGAGGACCGAGGAGAAGGAGAGGGGGAAGAGAAGGAGGACACTCCGAGCAGGAGGAGGACAAAGAGGGGTGGGTTTCCATTCTTCCAATTTTCGTTCGTTCATTTTTTCGTCTCATCCGCAGGCCCTCCCTCCTCCCCCCCCCGCGGTGTCCGATCCTTTTCGTAATCCGTTTTCGCCTTTGTTTCGTTATCTTCTTCGCGCTCCTGCTCCTCCTCCTCTTCGCGTTCCTGCTCCTGCTGCTGCTCAGCGTCGTCGTCGTTGTCGCCCCCCTTCCCCTGTCCCCTGGGTTCGGGCCAGGCGCCGCCGCGATGGACCTCGTCGTCGCGGACGTCGAGGACATCGCGGCGCCGCCCCAGCCTCACGGTGGCGCCAAGCGTCGCCGCCGCAACGCGCTTCCACGGACTTTCTTTCTAGTGAGTGCGAGGAAGGTCTTACGTCTTACTTTATCCGTGCCCTCCTCGCCTAATATTTGTCCTCTTCCTCCTTGTCTTCATCCTCGTCCTCCTCCGTCTCCCCCTCCCCCTCCTCATTGTCTTCAATGTCCTCCTCATCCTCCTCCGGTCCCTTTTCTCGAGTATCCTCCTCCTCTTCCTCGGAAGGTTGCGCGGAGGAACGTCGCAGACGTGTGGGGGGCCGTGGAGTTTTCAAAGTTGTCTCGGATGTCTCATGCGGACGCCACGCGGCCTGGTGTCCTTTGGCAGGCTCGACAGTTCGGGAACTTCGAGGCTGCCGCCTCGAGTATGTTGGTATGGACTATATCATCGTAC